CCTCCCACCTCTGCTTTGGGCCTGTCCCATTTCCGGCCCACATGGCCAGCCCAGTGTGGCTTGTTCCCCTGCTGACGTGTTGAACTGTTGAGAGAATTCCAAATGTTCTTTTCACATGCTGCTGCCAGGCCACAAGTCCCCCACCTGCGTGTGCAGTTTCTTGCTAGTCATAGGCACTTGCATGTGATCCCAATTCATCTTCTAACATCCAGATCTTGTTGCTGTCCACTGCCTGACACAGAAGGAAGGCGAGGCATGTGAGCCTTCTCTCTCTTTCTATGGGGTCCTGATGTGGGTCATAAGGCTCTCCCTGGTGTTGCCCTTGTAGCCAGCTACCCTTTGGCTGTCTTGGAGGAACTCCATCTTGTCCTGGGCACTAGGAAATGCTTTTCTCTGGCTGGAACCTGAAGTTCAGGTTGGTTCACAGAATATTATTGCCCCAAGCTTGGGGACAGATGCACTGTCTGATCCCTGTTGAGCAGCAAGTGTGGCGGAGGGGAGGAGACGGATGCTGGTGTCCTGCTGGAGCTTGAGGGGCTCAGGTGTGGTGGTGTCTCAAGCTGATCTCTGAAGAGGGTGGGAGTTGCCGGGGACTCCGCTGTATGACACCGCTCCTCCGTTCCCGTTGGCATGTCTCCCCCATAACAGCATCATGATTTGTGTGGTCTTCAGAGGAATCCGCTTGGGTATACCAACTAGAAGCTCCGGCAAACAACGGGGAGGGGACAGCTCCAAGAGACCCTGTACCAATATGGCCAGGGTTTCTTTTGCCATCAGTGTCTGTCTCCATTCAGATTTGAGGGAGGGGGTCAGTCCAGCTCTCAACACCTCTGTCCCATGTCCCTCACTGATCCGTGACCAAGAGACACTCAGAGAAAGGACAGCCTGGGAGGGGACCTCAGTCTCTCAGGGACTCAGTCCTATAGCAGTTTGGAAGGGCTTGCAGCCTGGCCAACTGCAGAACCCTGAGGGTGCTGCCGAGGTCCCTGGGGGGATGAGGTGGGACTCCCCACCCCACCCGTGCTGTCAGCTTGGAGGCTGTGGTAAGTAGCTGACCCCCACTTTCCTCCTGCAGAACCGGCCTTCGGTGATCACCTGCGCCTCTGCTGGTGCCCGCAACTGCAACCTCTCTCACTGCCCCATTGCGCACAGCGGCTGCCCTGCGTCCGGGCCCGCCAGCTACCGGAGGCCGCCCAGCGGTGAGTGTCCTGGAGGAGTTCCCCACTTCCTCACCCTGCCTGTGGTCTCTGAGAGTCACAGATCAAGTCTCGGGCCAAAACCCCTCGCCTTGAGCACATACATACCCAGCACCGTGCAGAGCTCGAGGCAGGGGTGTGCTGCTCCTGGCCCTCTGTGACCTCGTGCTCTAGTCGGGGGGAGGTCAGAGTCCTCATTTACTGCCACATGGCCACTGTCCTGCAGGCACATCACAGAGCAGCGGCCTGCCCTTGTGCCCAGCAACAGAGTGGGGAGGGCAGGGGGGCCCGCCCCAGAGCCCTATTGGTGACCCATGGTGCTCTGCAGATGGCCTGTCCTGATTGTTCTCCTGCTTCCTCACAGCCACCACTTGTGACCCTGTGGTGGAGGAACACTTCCGTAGGAGCCTGGGGAAGAACTACAAGGAGCCCGAACCAGCACCCAACTCCGTGTCCATCACGGGCTCCGTGGATGACCACTTTGCCAAAGCTCTGGGCGACACATGGCTTCAGATCAAAGCAGCCAAGGATGGTGCATCCAGCAGCCCCGAGTCGGCCTCACGCAGGGGCCAACCGGCCAGCCCCTCTGCCCACATGGTCAGCCACAGCCACTCCCCATCCGTGGTCTCCTGAAGGGATGCCACCCTCCGGCAGCACGTAGATCTGCATGGTTTGCCTGAGCTTTGAACAGTCAGTGCTTCAAAACAAAAAAAATTGGGGTGGGGAGGGAGGGATAGGGATGGTTTCTTCGCAAAAACCATGTTGTTGGGATTTCTTTTCTGTTTTCATACTTGCTTGGTATTCTTGTGCAAGGGGCCTCAAATGTGGCAGCAGGAACGACGCGTGGAACACCCGTCTCATGTAGCATCCTTACTTCCTGCCTCAGTTACCAAAGAAACCTCTGATGCAGGCCTGCCGGGGCCCAGACTCTGTGGCGCGCATTCTCAGTCACATGCCATGACGACGTTGGGGACCCAGATGCTTTATGCTTTCTTCCATTTGCTTCTCGAGCGCCGGGCGTGCGCAGCTCAGCTTCCATGGCGGGTTCGGGGGTCCGTGTGCGTGCGCGTGTATACTTGAAGAGAACTGCCGTGTCTGATTTGCACTTTTGGAGGACTGAGTTGCCTGCCTGGCAGCTTTCCGTGAGACGTGAGTGCTCTGAGGGCAAACTGCTGAAGAACAAAGGGTTCAAGGATGACATTTCCGACCATTTGTGCGTTTTTGTTGCTATCGAATTTAGACAAAACTGCTTTGGAAGGGGAAGTCTCATACCGGTTATAGGTCTTTCTCTCTAGATTTCAGGTGCTTGCAACAGGACTGCAGACTCCACCGATCACGGGCATTTACCTTTCCTGAACACTGCGGTGTGTGAGGCTCGAGCCGGGGTGGGAGGATTCCAGAGTGCTTTAATCATGACGCATGTTTTAATGGAGGAAAAAAAAATAGCTGGTTTCTATTAATTATATAGACAGTAAACACAAACCTTACTACTTACTAGCTTCTTTTCAGAATTAGTTTATTTTTGTCAGTTACAGTCCTAGATATACTTACTGCTGGTACAGTTGTACTCTAAGATTTGTATTTGATACTCACTTTACTTGCAAGGAGGGCTGGGGACAGCTGGCAGGCCCGAGGGAGGCTCACTGGAGCAGCTGGGCCACCGTGTCGGGGGCCAGGGTTTGCACCGCAAGCTGACACGGTCACTGGTTTTCTGCATCCCGTCTGCTTTTACGAGCTCCCAGGGGAGCATCTTCCAACTCCCCAGATGCGCAGACTGCTCCCTTCCACCTCCCTTGGCCGAACAGCAGATTACTGACAATCTGTGATAAGGTATTTTGATGCTTCCTCGCATGCTGGGGCCCAGGCAGTATACATTCCTGACTTTATACACTTATTGCCACATTTATTATCGTCTGGTATATTAATGGCTACTAACTAGAAATTAGAAGAAAGCGGGATAGACATGGCTGTGGACACCCCACAGCTGCTTTTCCTGGTCCATGAGCTGTTCTGCTCCCCCACCCCTCAAATGTGCTGCATTTGGCCTGGCCTGCTGGAGGGCTCAGGACGCCATGCACCCGGCCACCTCATCCAAGGCTTTATGGACTCCTTCACACAGGAGCCCTTGAGGCTGGCTGCCAGGAGGAGAACAATACAGGTTAGCTGTTGCATTCTGGGGACTGGCTCTTGTAGTCACAGGGTGGCTGCAGGCCTTTAAGAAGTGGAAGAAAAGCCCTTCTCCTCTCAACCCTGCACACATTTCACTCCCACTTTACTGGGCTTCCAAGCTTTGGCATTCGGGCCCCTATATTTTCTGTAGGAGAAAAATTGTTGAGAAACACTTTTTTTATATAGGTAACTTTAAGACCATCATTACGCTGTGCGTAAAGAATGTACAGAGAAATTTGTAGGTATTTTTTGAAGAACAATTAATTTGTTAATGATATGTAGCTATTTAATTTTCCCCTTTCCTATCGTAATCATTCATTTTTTTTGTTGTTTGGAAAAAAAAGTTGATCTTTTTTTGTTGTAGATTTTGTCTGTAAAGTGCAGGCACACAGTTATTCTATGAGGACACTGCATCTGCATTAATAGCCACTAGTTTGTTATTGCTACAGGCTACTGAGCATTGTAACAGGAACACGACCGCACCGCGGATGGGCTCTGCGGAGAACCCACCTCGGACACTTCTGTCGGTGCACAGGGTCGTCACTTGGGAGGGATGGCAGTGCCGGTGGCCGGGTCCCCGGTGCGCTGACCTATCTGGGATAGGCAGTTCCCTGGAGGGGGCTTTGAGCAGAGGGAGCAGCGGAAAACCAAATGTTTCCCCAGCACCCTCCCTGAGAAGGGGCTCCGAGGTTCTCCCCAGGGCCGCGCTGTCCGCGGTGCGTTCTGCCCCTTCTCTCCATGTTTGTAAATCTGTAATATACCATTCTCTGTGGCCTGTTTTTCCTGGAAGAAGAAGAAAAAAAAGGTTTGGCAGGCCATCTTTTTTTTTTTTTTTTTTTTGTACTTAAAAGTAGCCTTAAGAACAATAATAAAGTGCTCTTAAACCACAGGCTGTACGTGTGGCTCTTCAGTCCTGGGTGACAGTGTGGTGGCTGTGCACCACTGAAGTCCCAATAAAGGTAATTTTTAGTTTCTTGACTGTCTACTTTAGGTCAAGTGTTTTCTAAGTCTCTGTGGAAATCCTGCTGCTGTAAGAGGTACCCTTGGACTCCATTTTGACTTTGGTTCTAGGCCTAAGACAGAAGCTGAACCCAGATAAAGTGTTAGGGGTGCCTTTGGCTCTGCACCTGTTTAGGGGCAGGCACCTGTGCCAAGGACGTGCCCGCTGTTCACAGCCAGCACCAGTGTGCAAATCAGAATGGAGGGGGAAACCAGCCTACCTGACTGTAGATGCACAGACAGCCACGACGCAGAGAGGACCCTTGAGGTGAGGGGGAGGAAGGGAGCCAAACTGCCTTCTCTAGACGGGCCCCAGGGCTCTCCCCCAGCTTGTGGAGGCCTGCGCGAAAAGGTTCCAGTCCTCACGGGTAAGGTGTTGGACTAGGAGGTGGAGGAGACAACACCCCCCCCTCAAGGCAGAACGCCACAGGGGGGGGTTGCAATGCACCCTGGGAACTTGGGTGCTGCCTCCCTACAGTGGCTCAGGGCAAGAGCTGGTTTCCCACTTCCCCAGCTGATCCCTAAGTCCTTACTGTTACCTCTGAGGGCCAAAGCAGAAGGATCCTGTGACACAGGAAAAAACAAAAACAACAAAAAACCCAACCCCAAAAGAACTTCACATGGAGGGAACAGAGCCCCAGATCAATGGCTGTGCCAAAGCCAAGGTTATTATTGAAGTCAGAGCTGGGGGGAATGGTGACCCATCAGAATGCAGAACGCTGGCAGCAGAGGGAGCACCCCAGTCTTCAGGAAGAAAGGGAACAGGGAGGTGACAGTCCTGCTCCAGTGACTGAGTGTGGCCTCAGCAGGCAGCCAGAGAAAGAATCAGGCTCCACACGAGGCATGGCTGGTTCAGATGGTCTCATCGTCGCTCATGTCCCAGATCTGCATGGAGAAGGGGAGACGCTTAGCAGAGGTGTGGGGCTGCCAGATGGTACTCACTGATGCTATTGTCATGACAAAAGGATCTCCTACTTGCAGTCAGAGCGCTCTGCACCTCCCACACTGGTTCCCTTGTCATTGAGGCACTGACGCCCCATTTCTGGTACAAGGAATCAAATCTCAGGAGTTATACTTCCCTTACCCAGGGGGGAGAGCAGGCTGAGGCTTTGTACAGCACCCTGGCTCCCTGGAGGCTGGTCCCCAAACCTGTGCCTCCAGACTTTCAAAACCCTTACAACTGGTTGCAAAAGACCCCCAGCCCCGGCAGAGCTGCCAGGATGAACAGTGTGTTTACATGGGGCGGCCCTGGCCGCCCCGGGGAGCAGAGAGGCCTGGCCAAGGTAAACAGCCACACCAGCTTGCCTTTCAAAGGCAAGGATGTGGAAAATAAATAGAGGGAAATTTCCTCCCTCCTGGGCTGAGGGGGAGCGGGTGACCCTCTCCTGCCCCTCCATTTCTACACAGGCCCACTGCCTGAGCACAGGAGGGTGGGTGGCAGAGTGAGATCCTGATGCTGGCGAATCAGCGCCATTAATGAATGGGCAGTGTGGGGTCCAATGATCCCAGTGTGTCATGTTGGGACCTGCCTCTTGGTGTAAGTTCCCCACCAGCTAGAAACACCCCCTGGGGTGGAGTAGGGGCCCCAGTTCCAACAGAGGCTGCACTGCTGAGCCCCAGAACCTGATCTGTGGGTTCTGAAGGTCTGAGTGGGGAGACTGAGTCACTAGAGGGTTTGCCAGCATCATTCAGCCACTCTTGACTGTCAGTGAACTCGATCATCTAGCCCTCCCTGTGCCAGGCACTTTGAAGACCTGGAGTGAATGTGCCCTCCTGCCCTCCTCATACCTGCCTGTGAGGTCCAGGGGAAAACCAGCTCAGAGAGGCAAGACAACTTACCCAGGACCACACAACAGGCAAGCTGGGAGCATGCATGTGGTGTGTGGAACAGGCTGGGCACGCTGCATGGAGGAGGGGGACACAGAGGCACTGGGCCAAGAGGAAGGAGAATGAAGAGCCCTGTGCACTGAGGCTTTAGGACCTTCTGCCCAGCCTCTTCAGGGCACCAGCCAGGGCAGACTGGGTACCACTGAATGGCACTCTCTGCCAGTGGGTGGGCAGGGCTGTTTACACTCTGGGCCAAGGACAAACGTTTATGGGAAATCAAGAGCATCCAGACATCCTCTGACCACTTCTTCATCTACTGTCACAGCTTAGCTATGGGGAAGGGGTGCCCTCCCCCCACTGTAGGGCCAGGGAGATGTGGACTAGGTGGCTGTGGGCTGGGAGGGAGCCTGGCTGGCCCCTTGCTCCTGGACAGATTTAACCACTCAAAGGGGCTGGCCAATAGGGCTATTCTGTTGAGCCTGGGCTGTGCAGAGGATCCTGTGGGACACCCAAAGGGCTTATTGTGACGCAGCCCTGTAGCAGGGGGCTGGCGGGTGGTGGATTTTACATAACTGCATGGGGTTTTCCCAGAACCAGCTCCCTAGCAGGGACAGGCTCTGTGGAGCACCCTGGCCTTCCCCCTCACCAGGCACAAAGGCAGCACCTGGAAACACAGACTTCATCTCTTCCTTGAGCATAGACCCTGGAAGGGCTAAGATCTGCCCTCCCGAGTCCTTAGTTCCAAGTACAGTGCCTGGCCTGAGCAGAGGTGCCGTGGGTGTCCTCTTAACAAAGGAAGGTTGAGGTAGATTGGCACAGATTTTAATAATGTTAATACTCAATGCTGGCAAGAAGACACATGGCCACGGGTGGGGTGTAAATTGGTACTATATGTTTTAAAAGAAGATACAAAGCTTTTTTTTAAAAAGTCCACTTTCTAAAGGAGAAATTAATCTTTATGCAGAAAATATTAACTAGAAAATCCAAGAAAACAAATGCTAGGTAGACATGGCAAGAGAACTCTTTTAAGACGGCATCATAAAATTAGCAAGTTCCAGCACCCCCCGTGTGTGAACAATGTCCAGTTCAAAAGCAGAACGAAAGAGGTAAATCCATTGTAAGAGCAGTGAAAAAGATGAGCTGCTGGGAAATAACACTGATGTCAAATGTGCAAAATTTATATGGGGGGAAACCCCTCAGAACATTCCTACAGCAAGCCTCCAAGAATTTTAACTTCAGAAAGACAAAAGTGAACTGGAACAAATGAGCAACACCCCTTGTTTTTTGCACAGGACAAGTCAACATCAGTAAAGAGTCAAGTTTTCCCAAGTGAAAGTAGAAGTTTTTAAAATCAACAACTATTTCTTCTGGAGCTAGAGGAGCTGGTTCTAAAGTTTTGTGGAAAAAAATAAGCAAGAATCCTAGTAAAACTTGGGAAGAGGGACAGTGATGGCTCCCCTCCTCCACGTTTGCAACTCAAGGCAAACAGCATCAAAGTCTCCAAAACCAAGAGGAGGAGGCGTTGCTATGACAACAGCTACGACTAGAACACAGTGAGCCTGGAAACAGTAGGATGTAGAATCCATACACGTCCAGAAAGCTAGCATTTCACCATGAAGGTTTGGAGAATAGGAGCTCAAATCATTAGAAAAAGATGGACTTTCAAATAAATGTGGAGAATTAGTAACTTGAAACAAGATAAAAATTGATTCCATGTTTTCTGCTGTACCTTGGCATCAACTCCAAACGGAACAGAGATCTCAGTGTTAAAGAAAACAAAGCCATGGGCACACAAATGGGTACTTCCTTTACAATGTGTGTGGGGGGGAGCCCTGTGAACTTGAGCCTATAAGAAAGAAAACGGGTGCATTGACCCTGAAGAAACGTGTGTATTTTTGCATGGGAAACCCAATAAACAGAGTAATAAAAAAAAAAAACCCAAACTACAAACCAGGAGAAAACATACCTGAAAGGGCCACCACTACTCCCTAATTGACAATTCTCAGAAATCAAGAGGAAAAGACCAATAAGTTGACTTTTAAAAAGGCCAAGGATGTCGACAGTTCACAGAAAAAAATCTAGGCAAATGACCCTCTGACACAAGAAAACGTGCTCAACCTTACTCATAAGAACAGAAATGCAGACATTCCTTAGGACACAAAAGAAAAACCTGACGTGCATTTCACGGGAATTGAAGCATCTGGCCTTTGAAAGAGACAACATCAGAAATGAAAAGGCAAAGGAAAGTCACAAGCGAGGAGAAAATGTCTACGATGTCTATGGGAAGGATTTGTATTAAGAATTCAAACACTCAAAACTGATTTTCCTTAAAACTGGGCAAAAGATTTGAACAGACATTCCGCAAGGGAGGACACAAGATGGCCACCAGTGCAGGTGCTCAGCATCCTTCATCCTTAGGGAAATGCAGAGCAAGTCCCCAAAAGGACACTGCACAGCATCTGTAGCAAAACCAATGGGCAGCGGGGCTCTCTGTGGGGTGCAGAGCAAGCAGGGCTCCCCGACCCTGCTAGAAGGAAAGCAATGGCAAAACCACTCTGGGAAAGGTCTGGTGATTCATAAAACGAAACACACTTCCCCAGTGACCCAGCCATTAAACTCTCATTTACCCCAAGGGGGATCAAGTCCACAGAGGCTTGTTCGAGAATGTTCAGAGCAGCTTCCTTCTCAGGGGGCACAAACAAACTGGCTCAAGTGGCCACCAATAGGAAAACAAGAAATAAACTGGAATATCCATACAATGGAGCTACAGCATGGCTCTGGAATGTTCCCCTAAAGCCCATGTGATAGAAGTTTGGTTTCCAGCATGGTACTTCTGGGAGATGGCGGAACCTCTAAGAAGTGGGAGGCCTTCTGTCCATGGGGAGCAGGCCACTGAAGGGGACAGTGGGATCCTGGTCCCTTCCTCTTCCTCTTGGCATCCTCACCATAAGGTGAGCAGACTGCCCTGCGGTGTGTTCCCACCATGCTGTGCTTCCTCAGCGCAGTCCCCTCTGAGACCAAGGCAACAGAGCCGGCTGACCATGGCTGAAACCTTCCACAGCGTGAGCCAGAACAGCCCTTTTCTCTTTATAGGTTGGTTGTCTGGGGGGGGGGGGGGTGTTACAGTGACTGGAAGCCACCACAAATGGGCACTACCTACCCATGGAAGGAACAAATTACTGATGCACATGACATGATGGCATCTCTGTCCTGAGTCAAAGCAGCCCAGCAGGGAGAAGGGAGGGAACAGGGCAGCTTTGGTCAAAGGGTACAGGGTTCCATCACGCAGCATGAAAAAGCCTCGCAAACCCACGCACAGCAAGATGACCGATGACGTAGCTGCCATCGTATTATTGATAGAAATTTGCTACCAGAGACTGAGGTGTCTTACCAAGAAATGACGGTTGCGATCATTTCATTGTGTATACCGTCTTTCGATACTACATCCTGGATAGTTTCATTTATTTGAAACCCCAGAAGAGGCGAAACTAATCTATGGTGACAGAAAGTACACCATGTGTCACAACCCAACAAACTATGTCCTTTAATGGGTGCAATTTATTGAACATAAATTATATCTCAGCAAGTTTTTTTTTTTTTTGAACAGCTGCATTGAGAGCACATTTCCATACCTATCAGATTGGCAAAACCCCACAGCTGGACAACATGTCCTCTCTGCGAGCCTTTGGGAAGGCGGCACTCAAACGCATTGCTGGTGGGTATGAATACAGACCTACCCAACAGAATTACTTGTGCTTTACCTTTGGGCCCAGCCACCTCACTTTCAGGGGACTGTCCTAAGAATAGGCACGCCTCCATGTCACAAAAGGTCATTATTCATTGCTGTGTGATTTGCAACAGTAAAGGACTGGACACAACTGGAGAGGGCCTCCATAGGGAACCTACCGAGGGACCATTCACTGCACATCCATACCTGGACTGCTGTGACCCCACACAGTGACGGACAAGAGTTCAATCAGCTCACGTGGGCTGATTTCCAGGATTTTTTTTAGTGGGGGGAAAAATATGGAGCATCTGTGTCATACCACCTTGTAAGA